CAACGCTATATATTCAGTTTCTTCATGATTTAAGCCATTTAACAGGGAAATAAATATTTTAACATCCTAATCCTCTGCATACAGTACAGTATACTCTAACTTACAAAACAGAAAGCCAAAAGATTGCTCCTAGCTATTAATATATTTCTACTTAGGAAAGTGGGCATGTAAGGAACAACATGCTCAGAACAGTAACATAAAAATTAAATTTGCTTCCCTAAAGCAGTAAAGTTATCTGTTATATCAAAAGTAGCTAAAATGTGGTAATGAAGGAACACTAAGATATACAGGGTTCAAAATGAAAACAATGGAAAAAGATAATCCATGATTCTTTAACGAAGATGTTTATAGTCCACCTCTGAGAAAGCACCCTGATATGTATTCCAAGGCTTTCCCCAGCTCTTTACCACTTTCTTTCTCTGCTGGTCTTTATTTCTTTTCTTTTTCTTTTTTCTTTTTTTTTCCCCTGAGGATGAAACGAAGGCTGAGACAGAGAAGGGAAAATAAGAAAATGGGAATAAACTGATGACGAAGAAAGAAAAATACGAGTTTATTCTTTCTCCTCACACTGAATCCTAAATACATTATCATCCATCATTCTCATCATCATAAATGTGAACAACCGCAAATAACTGACGGCAAAGGAAAACTAAATTTCCTCTAGTCACAATCTAATCTAAAGCAAAAAAGTGGGGGTGAAGGAGTCCATGCCAAATTCTTCAAACAATCTTGACTGTAATACAAAGCTGCAGTTAAATATGGTGACATGAACCTTGGTCTAAGGGTGGAACACCAAGTTCTTTAACAGCTTTCTAGCCTAAGAAGTGACATCAGTCAAAGAACTTTAAACTCAAGTGTTTCATTCACTAAGTATAAACAAATCAAGGTTTTCATAAGACACCACATAGTACAAACTAAGAGTTTAAAGATAAAACTTCATGATACTATATAGTACCACAGGAAAAACAGAATGAGAATTTGGGAAGAAGCTAATTTATCTATCTGAACTCAAAATAATCCTGTAGAATAGTCCATTATTCCAACAGTCCTTTTGATCCTATCGACAAATACGAAGGTCTCTGAATTGGACTGCTATTTTAACTGGGGCCCTCCATATGCCAGTAACAATAATGCTTTTTCCCTATTGTAAAACATTCGACTGAGTTTTGGCAAACACTCTCATATAACCAGAAGATAACATCAATGCTGGCACAATCCCTATGCTCTTTCTTGTGCACATTTTTCTAAAAACTTTCCTCCTGGCCGGGCGCAGTGGCTCATGCTTGTAATCCCAGCAATTAGGGAGGCCAAGGTGGGTGAACAACGTGAGCCCAGGAGTTGGAGACCAGCGTGGGCAACATGCGGACACTCCGTCTCAACAAAAAATACAAAAATTGGCCCTGTGTGGTGGTGTATGCATGTAGTCCCAGCTACTTGGGAGGCTAAGGTGGGAGAATCACCTGAGCCCAGGAAGACGAGGCTGCAGTGAGCTGTGTTCATACCACTGGACTCCAGCATGGGCATCAGAGTGAGATCCTGTCTCAAAACAAACAAACAAACAAACAAAACCTTTACTCCTTAGTTTTCCTTAATAAGAGGAAGAAGCAGGGGAGGAGGAGGTAGCAGCAAAAACTTGGATCCTCGGATATACAGGCTAAGTAGATATTCACCCCAAAACCTAGCCTTAATCTTCTGAAGGCAAAATGTCCTTTTAACTCCCCCTTCTGCGGTTGCTACTGATCCTAAACCACAGGCCTTCCTGACTTGCAGCAGGACCAGGCCAGATTATGGTTATGTGGTAGGTTCTGTCAGGCAAGCTTTGACAAGGTCTCAAAATAGACCCTGGGCAAACGCCAGGGAAGCTACCACTCACAAGTTCCAGCTTCATCAAACTATAGCCCTTCAGCATGTAATTTTTTTTTCTCTCTAGTGTCTCTCTCATTTCAAAAAGGCAAAGAATCCTGAACCTCCTCCTGGCCACAAGTAACCTGTATAACATTAAAATGTAAAACCTAAGCCTCCTTTATTCTGTTTACAAACACTTTGCAGAATAAAGATTGAATCTGTACCTACTTCCTGCCTTGAGAAAGTAATCCATCAATAGCACTATGGTTTGCAAAAGGATTTTTGGATCTCAAACTCCACAGAGGTTTATTTTATCATGTATAGATTAGGATGTGGAAGGTAAAGGAAAAGAGAAGGTAGATTATTTACTTCTTTCCTGACTAATAACATAGTAGCCGACTTATGCAGGGCAAGAAGTTAAACTATACACAATGCTTTTAATTGATACTGGTCATAAAATTCTGAAACAATCAACCTACTATAAGATTTAGTCATTTAACTATTTTCAAATATAAATGCTTCTATATAACAGCACCAGTTTTCAAACCACAATATTTCTACTTTTACCAATACAAATAAAATTAATCACCTGACACTCAAATGTTTTCAAGTACCTTATAAAATACACTTGCAATACTTTTTAAATGGAGAGATGGATTAAGAATACAAAGTAAGTAAGAGCTCCTTTCCCTTTCCACAAGCCCAAGAAATAAGTTAAATTCCATTATAAATAAAGCCAATATAGGATTGAAATAATTTTAACTTTTCATAACTTCAGTCCCAATCTTACAGTCACACTTTGAAAATACATTTTGTATAGACACTTACTAACTAGTGCAAAGACTTATATATGAATTGTTCATTAGAGCAGTGTTTGTAGCAGGCTAAAATCAACCTAAATATCTGTCAGTAGAAAATGGTAAAATAAATTATGGAAAATGAATAAATTATGGTTCATCTACACTAGCAAGACATGCAGTCTTTAAAAAAAAAAGTAAGAAACGTGCTAAATACAAAAAGATCTTCATAGGTCAAAGATAAGAATGAAAGATACAGTATATTTCTCCTAGACATATGTGATTGTATATGGTTGCTTGGATTGGGGGTTGGGGTAAGGAAAGGCTGGGAGTTCGTGGTGGAAAGCAGACTTTCTTTTCATCATATACCACATTTTAAAATGTTTTATCAATTTTTAAAAGTCCCATAAACATCTACTGAACCTATGAAGTAAATAATGCCATTTCTTCCCCCTCCCTAATTATCTCTACTTTTATCTACTGCGCTCCCTACCACTAGGCTAAAACAAATGCATACATATGTTCCCTATGAAATGGAATTATCTCTTGACCTCCCCATCAAAATAAATGAATAACAGAACTAATGAAAAAGTATAATGCATGATCAACCCAGTTTTTAGCCTAGTGTTTGACTCCTTTGAAGTCCAGCATAATTTATTGTAAGCCGAAAACTTCACAAGGTAAGTTTTGTTCAATTCCTTCCTTCTGAAGTTTTAAAAGTTGAGTTTTCTTGGCTGGCACGGTGGCTCACGCCCATAATCCCAGCACTTTGGGAGGCCAAGGCAGGCAGATCACGAAGTCAGGAGATCGAAGCCAACCTGGCTAACACGGTGAAACCCCGTCTTTACCAAAAAAAACAAAATTAGCCAGGCGTGGTGGCGGGCGCCTGTAGTCCCAGTTACTGAAGAGGCTGAGGCAGGAGAATGGCGTGAACCTGGAAGGTGGAGCTTGCAGTGAACTGAGATTGCGCCACTGCACTCCAGCTTGGGCGACAGAGCGAGACTCTGTCTCAAAAAAAAAAAAAAAAAAAAAAAAAAGTCGAGTTTCATTTATTTATTTTTGAGACAGAGTCTCACCCTGTCTCTCAGGCTGGAATGCAGTGGTGCTTTCAGGGCTCACTGCAGAGCTCACGTGGCTTTCCCACCTCAGCCTCACAAGCAACTGGGACTGCAGGCACACACGACCAACTAATTTTTTTGCAGAGACAGGGTCTCACTATGTTGCCAGGACAGGTCTTGAACTCCTGGGCTCAAGCACTCCTGCCTTGGCCTCCAAAAGTTGAGTTTCAAATGATGATCACAGATTATATTCTTTATTTGCAAACTGGACAAAGTAGTACATTTTCCCCATTAAAGGACCATCTCTCAATTTAGATGTTCCAGATGGAAAGCAACTACCTAAAAGGAAAAAGCTTATGAAACAGCCTCTATTTTGCAGGTGCAATGGATAATGATCCTAAGGTAAAGACAGAAGAATTTTATTTCGTTTTGAATGATACTCGTCAACATTCCCAACATACTACAAGAATTATTTTTTTCTATATATCATCAATTCTGTTCCTTCTCACACTAGCAACAGGCTAAACAATCCACAAACAGTTTTGCAAGAAATTGCTCCCTCCCTCTTGCTAAATTCACATCTAACAAAGATTTGTTTTTGTTTTGAGAGACAGAAATACTTTGCCAAATGCATTCTCCATATCACCTTTTCCTTTCATTACGGAGATACTTAAATCCTGACCTGGAAAGGTTTCCCTTGCATATTTACCTATCAAGACTGTCAGTTACGGTGATTTCCACAAAGGATTTTCCAAAAGGGAATCTGTGTTCACAGAGAACTGAAACTCTTTAGTCACTATTAGCTGGACAAAAATCAAAAGCAACATTAGGGAACACTCTGAATATAATGGATACCCAAAGTAAAAAAAGATGTCAAAATTTAGTGAAAGAAGTAAAGGAAGTTAGTAAGCTAGACCAACAGGACAGACTTGCCATTACTTTATAACTAGCTAAAGTTCTTCATAAATGAAAATCAAGGTAAAAATCAGCTGAACTCCAACAGAAGGAAAAGAAAAACAAGGCTAAGGGTATCAAGAACTCTGTGATTTCAACCTTATTTTACTTAACATTTGAAAGTCAAAAATGATCAAATTATATTTCAGCAATAAAAAGCTATTTCTAGTTTAAAGTGAATCCATTCCAATCACAACTTCAATACACAATTTCTTCTAGAACAGAACTTAAAACTCATGTAGTTTCATTCTACATTTTTAAAGACATAATCACAAAAATAGGTGATGCTTTCCACTCAAAAGACTATTTTGTATAGTGCAAATTCTTTCAGTGAACATTTTCATACCTTAGTGATGGTAGCTCTCCTTTCCACTGACACTTACTTCTAGACCCCTTCATTTATCTTCCCACATCTGGCAAAAAAAAGTGGGGGGAAGGGTAAAACCAAAACAATCACTTAAAAACCAACAGACTATTCTAAATTCGAGCATTCTGCAAATACTTCAACTTTTATTTCATTACCATTCTTCATGATGATAAATATCCAGCAACAGACCTAACAAAACATAATACAACACTTTCTATTAAATGAGTAAAGAATGCCATCTCATTAGGCAGACACGAACTTAGCTTTTCTCTATTTCAATTTTCAGATTCATAGCAATGATTCACAAAGTGAGTGATCTACCTTCGAAATGAATCACACTTTCCGAAATTCTTATTCTACATAAGTATATTATAATACTAGGTCATTATCTCTGTATCTGTTAAACAGAGCATGATGTTGGTTAAACAGGGTTAGTGCTGCAACAACCTTGGAGTCCCTGCCAACTAACTCTATTTGCAACACTGCATTCTCCAATAATTGCAGTTTTTCATATAGATTTATCCCCAAAATAAAATGTTGTCTTGAAAAAATATTATTTTAAACACTGATTAAGAACTTATACATCCACACCCTGCTCTCCCTCTCTGTTCCATTACTGCATCCACATTCTCTTCCAACTATGACAACATAAAAAAATTAAGTACCACTCTCTTATCCTTACATATCATTTTTAGTCAATCAATCCACTCTACAATTTTTTTGTTTATAGTAGAAATGCTGAGTTATTAAATGGAAACTCAAAGAAAACCAGCTACTAACAGTTAAGGTTTAGGATACAATATTTATCTAGTCATGTCTCAGCAGCCTATATTTGTATCTCCCACGGTGGAAAAAGTAAAGCAAACACTTGAACTTTTTTCTCTCTAAGAAAGAAAAAGAAGTGGGTTTCCTTAGGTCCTCCTGCATCCTGCTGGTTACTCACAGGCAGGGTTGACTGGAGCTCTGTAACTTAATCTGGGTGTCAACAACGCCTCATATTAGTCAAGTATTAACCCAGCTAGGGCCTGTTAAACCCGCGCTCCAGCTCAGGTCAAGGAAGAAGTAAAATTCCCAAAAAAATGCTACGCCCTACACCGTCCTGACACCGTTCCCTGGGGGTGCTAGTCCCAGGACAGAACCGGAGTGTGGCATCTAGGGAGGAAGAGGAGGCGCCTGGGGCACCCGAAACGGAGGGACAGCTGCCCAATTTAATTTCTCCCACAGTGGGAGTAACACGTACCCGCGCGGAGGAAGGGTGAGCGTTAGAAATCAGACGGGATGTCTGAGAACGCCGCAGGCAGGGGGCGACCCCAGTCCGGGAGCCCGCCGGGGGCCGGCCAGTCCCCAGGGAAGCCCGGCCCCCTAGCCGAGGTCAGAGGCGGCGCGGATCCCACGGGACTGCGGAGGCCGGGAGGGAGGTCCCCAACTCCCTGCTCCCTGCTCCCACCGGGCTGGCGGGAGGAGCGGCCCTTACCTGGGTTAGAGCGCGCGCTGTGACTGCGTCGCTGTCCGGGAAGGGCCGAAGAGCGGCTTGCCCGCCCCGGCGCCCGCTGGGGCTAGGGGCGAGGGGCGCAGCTGGACGACTCAGTCCTGGGTCCCCCGGCCAGGCGGGCGGGGATGGACGCGGCGGCTCCCGGCACCGGCAGCCGGCTAGTCGGTCAGGCCGAAGTGCCCTCTGCGCCGCGGCTGAGACAGCGGGAACCGGCCCCGGGAGGAGCCGCAGCCTGAGCGGCCGACTGAGGAGGCAAAGGATGGGCGGGGCCACAGGGTCGACGACCCGCTCACCCGGAAGCAGTTGTGGCCGTGACTGCCCGGTAGTGGCGTTTGCCGCAGGCCGGCCTTGCACCCCGCTGGGCAAGGTACCCGGGGCTGTCAGACGGCGAGCTGAGCCCTGGGCCGGCGGGTGAGGTTCCCCAAGCGGCAGTGCTCCTGCCTCCCTGTTCCGCCATTGCGAGCCGTTAGGGCCAAGCTGGAGGAAGGGCGGCGAGGCGCGGCTGCCGGTAGGGCGGGGCCCTGGGCTGCTGGTGGGGGGGAGGCTGGAGGCGGCCTTGGGCGGGTGGCTTCTCTGGGTCTCACGGTTCCTGCCCAGACTTTCCGAACCAGGACCAGTGCCGGTAATGTGAATTGACACTTGTTCCGGTTCAGGGCTGCCCTTACCCTGGTTGCTCCTAAACCCTGCGGCCTGGTGGGCTTGGGCAAGTGGGCTGGAGTAACGCTCTGTTAGGAAACGAGTATGCGAGGGAGGGAGGGTGGGTGTGGTCGAAATGCCTAAGCTTCATTTCAAAAATGAAGACCATGACCTTAAAATTATTTCTGGAGAAGAATACTTGCCCGAGAGGTGGAGTGGGGAACGGAGAGCGGGATGGATGGAGGAGTATAAAGTCTGTTAAAAATCTGATAGACACGGACTTGTCATTTATTCCGGAAGTATCTAACGAGGCCCACCAGGTTCAAGCCACTGGGGAAGGACCAGGGTTGTGCATTTGGAAAGCTCACCTTAGTGGAATAGACGGACTGAAGCAAACAAACAAGGTAATGACAGGTGTAGTAAGGCTTTGCAGGAAACACACAGAGTGATGAAAAAGATTTTGTGGACGAGGCCTCTGGCTGGATAGGATGGCTAGAGAAGACCTCTAGGAGGAAGTGATAGTTGAGGAGCCTTCTAACAAAAAAGGCACGAAATACACCTAACCACAACTTTACATACAGGGACTGCAGATTCCAGAAGCCCCTGAATAAGCCCACTAATTCCATGTTGAGTACCTGTCTCTAAAGCCTTCTAAGGACTGTTTCTGTGCTGCCCACTTCCCCTGCAATTTCAGAAGGCTTGATCACCCTTACAGTTTATGGGGGCTGCCACTGTGGCACTAATGGAGAAGGTTCGAGAGACAAGGACAATTATACCCATCAGCTTTGAGAAACAAATTCTTTACCTTTTCACTGTTTCTATGTCACTATATTTCTCAGAGCCATGAGTAAACATTAAAACTATGATTTTTACATTGGTATGTTATGATCTGAATAAAATGATTAATGCCATATTTTGCCAAATTTGTTGAAGACGAAGAGGATCTATTCAGATGCAGTATCTGAATAATACCAAAAACCCAACATGTATTAAATATTAACGACATAATTAATAGAAAGATTGTCAGGGCCGGGCGCGGTGGCTCACGCCTGTAATCCCAGCACTTTGGGAGGCCGAGACGGGCGGATTATGAGGTCAGGAGATCGAGACCATCCTGGCTAACACGGTGAAACCCCGTCTCTACTGAAGAATACAAAAATTAGCCGGGCATAGTGGTGAGCGCCTATAGTCCCAGCTACTCGGGAGGCTGAGGCAAGAGAATGGCGTGAACCCGGGAGGCGGAGCTTGCAGTGAGCCAAGATAGCGCCACTGCACTCCAGCCTGGGCGACAGAGCGAGACTCCGTCTCAAAAAAAAAAAAAAAAAAAAGAAAAAAGAAAGATTGTCTGGATAATTCATTAGATTCTCTTGCCCTTTTAATTTTACTCCTTAGCCACTTGTTTTAATTCATGCAAACCAGCAGAAATATTTTGCATTGTGTTTCTGGGAAAACGGACTGGGAGGTAGTCCGTTTACTTACTGATCACTTTCTATTTACACAGCATTGTGCTAGGAACTTAAATATCTCTTCCAGTATTAGGACTAACCTTGAGATATGGGTATCATTGTACCCATTTTAGTAACAAAGACATTGAGATTCAGAGAGATTGTGACATACCTAATGTAGCAAAACTAGTAGCTGGAAGAGCCAAAAATTGAACTCAGATCTCTCTGGCCCTACTAAATGCATCACCATAAATTATTTCATGGGCAATCTTCCCGGCACGTTAATTGATTTCTTTCTGCCAAATGTATGTGTTCCTAGATCTTTTTGTAATATTCTGACATGGGAATGCCCCCAGGTCTGTGAGGACTAGATGAAGGAAAATTTTGCGATTGTTTATACAGTTTGGGGGTATGAGGTGGTACAATTTGTACATTTTTGTTACTTTCATAGCAAATTCTTCAGTTTTCTTTGATGAGGCCAAGAAATAAATTTTTTCCTTTCTTAAGAGCAAATACTTATTTTTGTGGTTTTCACAAAAGTTGTCTTTCACAAACACAATAATACTGTGTATATTATTATTATAATTAATAAATTTATAATCATATAAAATAAATAAATAATATAAAATAAATAAATAATAATAATAAAAAAACACATCTCTAAGATGTGAAAGATCATTAGTTCATACATTAAAAGTAGGATACCACTTTTGAAAGCCTAATATTTTTATTAGTAAAGTGTGTCTAGACCAGGCGCAATGACTCACACCTGTAATCTCACTACTTTGGGATGCAAGGCAGGTGAATTGCGTAAACTCAGGAGTTCAAGACCAGCCTGGGGAACATGGTGAAACCTTGTCTCTACAAAAAAATTAGCTGGGCATGGTGGCATGTGCCTGTTAGTCTCAGCTACTTGGAAGACCCAGGTGGGAGGATTGCTTGGACCCAGGAGGTCAAGGCTGCAGTAAGGTGTGATCAGGCCACTGCCCTCCAGCCTGCATGACAGAGCAGGACCCTGTCTCAAAAAGAAAAAAAAAAAAAAAAGTGTGTCTGTGTGTGTGTTAGAAACATTTTTCTAATTTTATTTAACTCCTTACAAGTCTGTGGAAACCTGGCACTGTAACTGTCTTTTACTATGTATATTTGTTTTAAGTTCTCCTTGTAAGAATTCCTATCTAGATTTATTATTTTTTCATGTTGTTATTTTTCTCTTTTTTATTTTTTATTTGGAAATAATTATTAAAAAGTTGCAAAAATAGTACAGCAGTCCTGTGTAGTATTTGCCCAGTTTACCCTATTGGTATCTTACATACCTATAATACCCTATTGGTATCTTACATACCTTATTAAAACCAGGAAATTGACACACTACAGTCTTCTTTAGGTTTTTAATTTATTTTTATGTTTCATATCAAAAAGTTTCCATTTTGCAATAATTCATTTCTATTATATTTGACTTGGCCCTTCCTCTCCTAAATTAGCAAATGTTAATAAGCTTGTCCTGCTGCTCATCTTGAATTACAAGTTTATTTTTAAAATTATCTGGGTCAACACAATTGAAAGTGATTCATTTGTAAGGTTGTTGCCTTCTCTGGTCATACTGTTCCATGTCATCCTGCCCTAATAAACCTGCAAAATTATACAGCTTGTGTGTGTATATTTTAATACATCTTCTGACCACTGCAGTTTTTTCACAGATTGTTATCAAAGGAAAACAGAGGAATACAAGACATCCTCATTTTTGACTGGCTTTTTAAAAAAGTTTCTAAACATCTAACTGTCAAAACAAGAATACTGGGTGGGCATGGTGGCTAACGCCTTGTAATCCAGCACTTTGAGGAGCCAAGGTGGGCAGATCCCTTGAGCCCAAGAGTTCAAGACCAGCCTGGGCAACATGGTGAAATCCCGTCTCTACCAAAAAAAAAAAAAAAAAAAAAAAGCTGGTGGGGTGGTCCACACCTGTAGTCCTAGCTACTCCAGAGGCTGAGGTGGGTGGATGACTTGAGTCCTGGAGGTCAAGGCTGCAGTGAGCCATGACTACACCACTGCAAGCCAGCCTGGGTGACAGAGCAAGATCCTATCTCAAAAAAAAAAAAAAAAAAAAAAAAATGCTATGGTTTGTTAGTGTGCAAAATCTCACTTATGGCTAATTCTGGTTCTACATGGATTCTCCTACCCAGGGCACTCACCCTTTCCTCCACCAGAGAATAAACAGGAAAAAAATGAAGGGTAAATTACTTTGTTCAATCTTAGTCTTGAGGAAAGGTTAATGAGAGGGGAAAATTTGGGACTTTGTATAGGTATCAATTATGTTGTGAACACCTAATCACTTATTATCAAGTGATGGTTTTTCTGCATTATATACTTACTATAAATGAGTAAAAAACACCCTTCATATTACAGCTTATTTAACAAACTATTATTTATCTGCTGTGTATCAGGCACCCAATTAGGTACTTGACACAGGGACAAAACAATCTCTGCCCTTAAGGAGCTAGAATGCCAGAGTTTCTGTTGATACATATTTTGTTAATGCATGTTAAGCTCTCACTATGTGCTAGATAATTTGCAAATGCTAGACATCCAACGGGAAGCAAAAACAAAGCTGTTTCTTTTTCTCATGAAACTGGTAAGGGAGACAATCTCACAAAAGTACCTTTAAAATCTAACAGGTATTACAAAGTGTAGGTATGTGCGGCCATGAGGGCATAAAAGCATTGGGACTTGACCTAACCTGAGGTGTCAGAAATGCCTTCTTCTGGGAAGAGATGTTTCAAGCTGAGATTTAAAAGTGCCTCAGAGTATAAACTACGTGCGGAAGTGGAGGAGAGCAAGAAAGAGCACATACAGAGCTCATGATAGAACCAACAGAGTCCCAGGGGCTGAAATGAGAGAATGTGAGATGAGTCTGGAGAGTTAAGGGCCCACCATTCAGGGTCTTAGAGGCTGTGGTAAAGATTCTAATCTTTGTTATGAAATCTGCAAACCAATCGAGTTTTTCGTGAGAGCAACATGGTTTGTATTTTCAGAAGCTCACTCTGACTTCAATGTTAAGAATTCATTCATGCATAGTGGCATGCAGCTGTGGTCCCAGCTACTCGGGAGGTGGAGGCACAAGAATCGCTTGAACCCGGGAGGCGTAGGCTACAATGAGTTGAGATCATGGCACTGCACTCCAGCCTGGGCCACAGAGGAAGGCTTTGCTTCAAAAAAGAAAAATTTTAAAAAAAAGAATTCATTCTTGGCCAGGTGTGGTAGCTCTTTGGGAGGTACCAAGCCCAGCACTTTGGGAGGCCCAGCACTTTGGGAGGCCAAGTTGAGAGGATTGCCTGCACCCAGGAGTTTGAGACCAGCCTAATCTATATGGTGGGACCCTATCTCTACAAAATATTTTAAAAAATGAAAAACTTAGCCAAGTGTGGTGGTGCATACCTGTAGTCCCAGCTACTCATTCTTTAAATAAATGCATCCTGAGGGCCTGCTATAGACCAAATCCTATTCTGCACACAGAGCACACGGCAGTGGACAACAGACAAATTCCCTATCTGTGAGGATCTTACATACAGACAATATAGAAATAATATATAAGATAATAGTGCTATAAGAACATTGAAACAGGGTGAAAATGAAAGGGTAGGGTGGAGTTGCTATTTTATAAACTT